GATCCTGGAAAGACATGAAAGCTGTATCTATAGCAACCTGTCGCATATCAAGCACCTCCCAGATGCATTGCACTGCAGTTCCCAGGATCCTGAAATAGCGTCAAGTTTTCCAATGTCCAACAATGAACGAATGGGAATACATGAGTTATAGAAGCACATCAATTCAAACAAAAGTTTTATTTTGAAGCATTAAAACATCTGCACTCATAAAGCTCACAGTTGCTTCAAAGTTGTCTTCGATTTTCTACACAAATATCTGCATGCAGACAGCACTTCTACTGAGGTCACAGGCAAAATAAAGCAGATATGCAAATCAATCAGAAGACGCAACTGCTTTAAGGCACTGAATTCATAATTCTGTTCAGAACTCTATTATGAATTTTTGGCAATCCAATGATTTCTTCAATGCCAACACAATCTTCAAATAATTAAAAGAATTGTGTATACATACACGCACACATGCATACACAGATGGATATCATCAAATCAAATCAACTATTACTAGTAGAAAGTAGAAAAAGCTCAGTTATACTGTAACAGCAAATACACTATATGGTCAGCAACTAATTGAGAAACAAATCACAAACTTCCAAGTTAGGTTAAGTGAAAATAGAAAGCCAACTATTGGTTGTCACAATGTGAAGTTAAGCATATTCCCACCACCTCCATGAAAAACATCAGGAATCACCTTGTTTGAACCTTATTGCTCTGGAACTAAACGAACTGTGGAATTTAAAGAATTGTAATTAAGGATGAATATGAAATCACATTACATTAGGTAAACCAAGGGGTAGCCATCAGTGCACACGCTGCCGCATTCTGAACCAGTTGTAGCTTCTGGGTAGTCTTCCAGAACAGCTTCGTGTAGAGCACATTGCAGTAATTTGAACAGGTCTTCAGAACCCTTCAAAACACTGGCTCCCAATCTCCTTCCAGGTGCAATTCAAGATACTGTGGTTATTATTTTTAAAGCTCTGTACAGCACAAAGCTAGGTTATCTGCAGGATCATCTTTCCCTAAGGACATCTACCTGTCCTGTTAGATCAGATGCGTTAGGTACACTCCTAGTCCCTTCCCCGTTGTTATATTATGGAATCTAGGAAGACTGCCTTTTCCATGGCAGTCCCTACCCTATGGAATATCCTTCTCCGTGAAGTTTGGCAAGTCTCCTAGCCTTCCGAAAAGAATTTAAATACCGCCCCCCCCCAAACACTGGGATAGAGTAAGGTGGATGAAAGGATTTAACAAGGGACTGCATGGCGGAACCTTAGTTTCAGTGCCAAGGTTTTTTTTTTAAGTTTATAGTTTTTATAGGTACAAGTATTATGTTGTTTAATTGATGGAGGTTTAATTGTTGATTGGGAGCTGCCCAGAGTTCAATATAAAATGGGCAGCTACAAAAATGTTTTAAATACATAATTATAGTGATGGATGCACCATTAGAAAACTTGAAGGATCACGATAGGGACAGATCCACCTGGAGAAAATCTGTCTATGTCAGGATTCTCCAAAGAAGTCAGTATTGACACCCAAGGGTTGATGGAACTATCCAAGGGCTCAAACCTATTATTATGGTTTGTCACCCAGTCATCCATATGTTCAGACTAGATTTGGCATTTTTATCTGCCAATTGAGTCCTTCCCAAGGACCTGGGTTAGGCAGATGTGGAAGTCTGATGATGTTACAAGATATTATTGCAGGATCTATCCTAAGCTGTTCCAATTGCCTTCTGCAATTGATTGATGGTGAATTTGCCAATGCCGATAGTGTTCAAGTGGCACTTCAATGATTTTGGTATTGCACCCAAGGCACCTATTAATAAAAATATTACTTTAAGTGTTTAGTAAATTGTTTTCATATAATACAACGTTTGGGGGATCAACAAACAATCTGAAGTTTCATGGAGGGGTTGATGTGATCACTAACACTCAACAATGACTTGATGACACTTAGGCAACCAACCAACCAATAATTGACACAATTGAAAACTATTCAAATGATTGATGAAAAATAGTACCACTGAAGTCAATACTGCTAGTTGGAGGCCACCCAGAAGTGCTTCATCATGCCAAGTCTGCACATGGCATGCCACATGGATAACTTCTCATTCTACAATCTGTCTCCAACCTTCTGCCAAATCATCTTGAAATGAGAACAAGATGGCACAGAGATCCATTATAAGGAAGGAGCCAAACTGCATGTCCAGCTGGCATACCTTAAGTATTTATTAAATAAAACAAGCCATAGATTTTCTAAAACAACTCTGCATTATGAGAGCAAAAGATGTCTCTCACAACAGAGGTATTGGAACATCAGTGCTGGATTGATGGCAAGACATGGAATAAAGAAAGATCAAGCCACAATTAAGAGTTACTTGTACTATAATTAAAATTTCTCCATATAGATCTAGGCCATTCCTGCAGATGAAAATAAAGACTTGTGGACTAAAGTAAATTCCACAATATTGACCTCAAAACATAAAATGCAACCACAACTTCACTAATAGATATTCTTGGGAAGTATGACACCTACTGCTTTTATGGAAGTCTGACTGTATATTTCATTATTTTTGGATGGCAAGGTTTATTTTCTTTTTTACATTTTTAATCAACCACTTTTAGAAACTTAACCAAGCTGTTTTCTTTTTTTAAATATTATATTCTTCAGGACACTCAACAGTTTACAAAATCCTAGTCTTTCTCTTCAGAAAAACACTGCAAAGCCAGAGAAAATTCCATTGCTTTTTACTTTATGAAGATGCCTCAACTCTCTCTAGCTAAGTAAGATCTGTAAGATCTTTGGGGAAGAAACTTGTCTTTAGCGCATGTTATTCTGTAAGGTTCCATGTATATGCTAACCAAACAACAGAAAACCGCAAGCCATAATCACCATGTAGTTTAAAAAATACTTTGCAATATATTTATTTATTTTATTTATTCAATTCCTATAGCTACCCATCTCAAACAAATGACTCTGGGCTGTGAACAATCATGAAGCAATTAAAAACAATTACTACATAATAGAAAAGTAAATAAATATGGCAGTCAAGGAAAAACATCAATCATAGTTGTCAATATAGCCAGGAGGTGGGGGCACTTCAGAGGCCAATAAGATCTGGATCATCCTCAAATCTGCTTAACACCATTTTTCAAATACAGAATATAACAAATATACTGGTAAGACCAGATACCACTCAATCAAGGCCCAGAAATAGTGAGACCCTTTATTTATAGTGACATATTCCGGGTTCTCAGTACTTCTAAAGTTGCACTTTTCTTCAAAAAAAAAAACGGGGGGGGGGAGATTATGGGTAAGGAGGATGACCATTTCCATAATTAGAATATTGTAACTAGCTGCCATCCTCTCTCTTTGAAAATGCTATATTGCACATTTAAATATATGAGGAAGCTGAGATTGGATGGTGCTGGAAAGCAGTCAAAGAAAGACCAGAGTGGCCAAAGCAATTTTTCTTCCCAGAAACCTAGAAGCAGGCAGGCAAAAACTAGCTTGTGCTTGGCGGTAAATGAAGAAAGGGGAGGGGGGCGAAATAAAATGTGAAAAATTACCGCATCTTTCCTTTAGCCCCGCAATCGGTTTTTCCAAGAAAGAAGCACTAGAGCGTTACACCTCTTTCCCTCCTCCACGCATCAAAGGACGGATTCCTTTCTTAACTATTCACTAAATTAGCCCGTTGGATTTTTTTTTAAACTGATCGAAAGCCACCTTCGGGGTAGGCATTCTGACAGCCTGGCCATAAGGACGGGGCTGAGAGCTTTTAGAGTACCAGAACCTCCATTTGGCTGGGAGAGATCACTGCAGCAAATGGGGAATCAATTATACAATTCGGCTGCCCCGAAAAGCAGCAATGTGTGCGTGTGTGTGAGGGGGGGGGGGAATAGAAGCTGGCCACCAGCTTTTTCCTTTCCAAACACCACTCGCAACGCCTGTCTTCGTCCTTGTCTGGCTTAGGCGCTGTTTACTCACCGAGCAACTCTTACAAGTGGCCTTTCGGAGTTCATCCCGCAGCCTCCACACTTTCTGCCCTCCCCCCCCCAAGATGCAGCCCAGGAAAACCCCCAAAACACACCCCCCCCCCCCCCCGAGACGAGAGAGGCCCCGATTCAAAGAACAACTTCTCTTACGGTTCAGCGAAATCTCCCTAAAGTTTGAATGAGCCACGGCAAGCCGCACTTCCTCTTGAATTCGTGTCAAATGCAAGCTTTTCCATTTCTCCCAACCTTTAACCGTCCTCTCACGTAAGACTTACAGAAGCCTCTTTGCTCTGCCTTCACCTTAAAAACACGCGCGCGCGAGATAAAAACCGTGTCCCAAAGTAAGATCAAGCGAGCCCCCCCTGCGTAACTTTCCCAAATCTAGTCTTTGCAATACGCATACTACTTGCGACGAGGGGAGGGAGCCAAGTCTGTGGAAAATGAGCTCAACACGGCATCAGAACAATACTTTCCCATAGAAACCGAGACTTCTATTTAATTCTTGGTTAACTCCACTCAAGTTTCACCTTCCATTTCCTCCAGAGATTTAAAACACACGCAAGGATTTAAATTTGCATTGAAAACTGTCTGCAGATTTATCTGCATTGGCCTTTAAAGGGGGGGGCGGGGAGGGAGAGGTACAGCTGCTCATGCATAAGCTTTTCAAAACCCTTTATCAATCTAGACTGCAAAAGGAGGGGGGGGAGGCAAGCTCAGGAATCCCAGCAAAAGAATGCAAATAACGTCAATGTACAACTAAACTGCAAGCCCTGCCTTACAGGAACTCTGTGTGTGCGTGCACGCCGCGCGCCCGAGTATGTGCGCGCGTGTGTGTGTGCTTGTGTGCCTGCAAAAAGCACACAGATACTAAACAGGAAATGCAACTGAGAGCTATTCAGCGCCTCAAACTTCAAAATGCAATGGTATCCCGCAAATTGCATGCATGCAATTCCAAAATGCATGAACGACTTTTTGCAAATCTGCAAATAACGCAAGTCCGAGCCTTACCTCTCTGAGACATTTTCCCCTCTGCTTTGATGGGGGAGGGGAACACAAAAGACTTTGCCTTCTGTAGCTAGTTTTGCAACAAAGATGCAAACTGCAAGCGCTCAATCTTCATGCAATTGGAGTTTTTCTGACTTCTCACAGCAGATTTCCTTGCAGAGGAAGGAGCTGCAATTGCACGCCTTGCAAAACAGATTGCAAAGTGGGGTTTCTCCCGCTATTGCAATGGGAAGGAAAGCTGTGCTGCACCTACATGATGGGCCAGGACTGGCAGCTAAAAGCTCCAAACTTGGATCCGAGTGTCTTAGTGCGCAGACGTCCTTTGCACGACTAGCGCGTTGATTTCTGGGTAATGTAGTTCTTCCGAATATTCACGCGAGGGTACCCCTTAAAAAGACTATTGGCTTCATCGTCGACGAGGTGTGCACCCAGGCATGCAAAGGAGGCATCTACCTGGAGCCAATCGGTAGATTTGGTTGAATACTTTGATCTCCGCGGTCATTGCAAAAGGGAAACGGCGGCTCGCCGTCTTCTGTTCTGTAATCCAACGGCGGCTAAGGCAGCATTGGGAGCCGACATCGCCTGCAAGCACGTTGCAAGATCTGCTATCTAGCAGTTGGCAGTTTCAAAACGAGACGAGTTGCCGTGCTGGAAGGAAGAGACCGAGGCACGTTGCATGGTATAGCCGGCTGGTCTGCCTCCGCCGTCGGCCAGTTTCCCTGCGTGACCGTTCCCACGAAGGAGCTTGGCGAACGCTTTCCGTTCCGCAAGCTCTCGTTGTTTAAATGAATACAGGATGGCAAAAAACTCTGGCTCTCTTGAAAAAAACAAAAGAGCTTCAATGAAGATTTTGTAAAGTTTACGCCTTGGTTGCGACGTTGGTTTCCGCGGATTACAATTCATTTCGGATTGCCGTGGAGGATGGTTTATATGGCTGGTGATCTTTGGTTCATAGCTTCTGAATTTTCTTCATACCGTACTTTCACATTGATTTCTAATAGTGTCATCACTAGCGTCAAAGGGACTAACGCTGTAAAAGCCCTGCTCAATATATCCTCCCCCGTCTAAATTTCCGAGAATATTTCTTAGGATGCTGTATACGGACAAAATGAAAAACTAAAATTCATTAGTAGATTGTATTGTTTTATATGATTAAGGGGAATACATATCCTTGATTTAGAACCGTTCAAAGTTGGCACCCCCAGAAATGGATCATTGCAATATCCCCATAGTCATGTGATCAAAATTCAGATGCTTGTCAGCTGGCATAGTTATGATGGTTGCAGTTTCACAGGGTCATGTGATCAACTTTTACAATCTTCTGACAAGCAAAGCCAGATTCACTTTACAACTGGTAGTTGTAGTAATACGATCTTCCAAGTTACCATGACGATTAGCAACTGAGTTTGCTGGTCCAAATTGTTGTCACTCTCTAAGCAAGGATTACCTATATTTTGCTGGAAACCACCTAAAGTTTTTTTTCAAGATGACAGCAACTACATTTTGTAAAATGAAAAAAGAAAAAGGAAGATAATTTTGATTGGAGTCTCAATTGTCACTTAGTAAGCGAGCCAATGTGGTGTAGTAAATTAGAGCAGAGGTCCCCAATTTGGTATTGGGCAGCAGCCCATTAGGAAGCAGGCCATGCAAGTGGCAGATGAGCACAACGAAGCTCCATTTGCGCAAACAGCAGGTAAATATGTGAAACCATCCCCTTGTCATTCCCCCCCCGCCACCCCCCCTGCTGGTCCATGAAGCCAGAAAGATTGAGGACTGCTGAATTGGAGCAAAGAGCCCTAAATTCCAAGCCAATCTCTTAATGGAAACCCACTAAATAATTCACCCAACCTACCTGAAAGGGTTGCTGTGGGGAAAACTAGGAGGGAGTGTTCTGTATATATACCCTTGTTTCTATTAACTAATAAGTTAAATTAAAAATGAGTTATGAAGCAAAATTGCAAAGAATACAAAAACAGATCTCACCATTATTAAGTATATAGATAAAACATAGGTAAAGGTTCCCCTTGCACATATGTGCTAGTCGCTTCTGGCTCTAGGGGGGCAGTGCTCATCTCCGTTACAAAGCCAAAGAGCCAGTGCTGTCCAAAGATGTCTCCATAGTCATGTGGCCGGCATGACTAAATGCCGAAGGCGCACGGAACACTATTTCCTTCCCACCAAAGTGGTCCCAATTTTTCTACTTGCATTTTGACATGCTTTTGAACTGCTAGGTTGACAGAGGTTGGGACAGGTGCTGGGGATTCGAACCACCGAACTGCCAACCTTTCTGATCGATAAGCTCAGCATCTTAGCCACTGAGCCACCGGATCACCTTAGATAAAACATAGTTGAAAAAAAATAATGTTGAGATCTATTTTTGTACTGTATTTTATTTTTTAATATACAATTTTCTATCGGAAGAGACAAGCATGCCAGAAATGTATCTGGCAGAATTAAAGATAATATTATTAAAAGATGTCTAAAATATACCTTGATCTTACATCAGCCTCAGATCTAAAGTATCCATGATGCAATACTCATAGAGTTAAGTGATGGCTCCCGCTACAGATTTCCCTCATTATGTTCCCAAAACATTCAGGCTTCCAGATTTCTGCCTCAAGCAATATTTTTAATAGTTAGGCAATAAATCACAAAAGTTAAAGGTTTATTGTGGAAACCATGACTGCAATCTCGTGAACAGTAAAATGTGTCTCCTTAAAGTCATGAAGGATTATCCACGGCAGAAATGTGTAGGCAAAACACTGCAGAAGACCCATGCACTGTGTCTCTTCTTCTCCTTAAAGACATTTTGGAATTTTCCTCTTTTAATTTTTCGCAAAATAGATCAAGTCTGCAGAGATCTTGGACCAAATCAGTTGCATGGCATAATACAATATATGGATCGTCTATTCCAGGGGTGTCAAACTCGCGACATCATGTTGTCACATGACGAATCACGACTTTTTTCCCCTTCGCTAGACTGGGGGTGGGGGTGGCCAGTGTGTGATGCATGAGTTTGACATTCCTGATCTATTCTAAACTACAGTGCAGTGGGAAAGCTATTAAACCACCCAAGACAGATAGCTATCCAACCTGTTTAAAAATCTCCAGTGAGGGAGAACCTATCCATGTTTGGGCAAACTATTTTACTGCTTCATTGCTGTTAAAAAAATAAACCAGAAAACTCAATCTGATGTTTCCTTCTTTTAATTGGTTGTTTTGTCTTCATTTTCAATAGAGAACAGATCTGCAAGAACATCTTTTGGATATTGGTGGTCTCCATTTTGTCTTCTTTAGTTAAAGGTAAAGGTTCCCCTCGCACATATGTACTAGTCGTTTCCGGCTCTAGGGGGCGGTGCTCATCTCTGTTACAAAGCCGAAGAGCCAGTGCTGTCCAAAGATGTTTCCGTGGTCATGTGGCCGGCATGACTAAACACTCTTACTTTCCCAACAAAGTAGTCCCTATTTTTCTACTTGCATTTTGACATGCTTTCGAACTGTTAGGTTGGCAGAAGCTGGGACAAGTAACAGGAGTTCACTTTGTAGCATGGTGCTAGAGATTCGAACCGCCGAACTGCCGACCTTTCTGATCGACAAGCAGCGTCTTAGCCACTGAGCCACCATGTTCTCTTCTTTAATAATGACTAAAAGAGCTGACTTGCAACTCCCACCCTTTTTGTGCTTGGATCCCGACACAAATGCATAATTCTTGGGGATTGCATCGCAACATAACATGAATGTCTGCCCTTATTGCCACTCCTTCTCCAGACACCTTCACAAAGTCCTAGACACCTGACTGACATCTCTCAGATTTTCCTCTTCTAGTTCTTTTGAATTCCAACATGACCCAGTCACTTTTATCCAAGGTTCTTAAGGCCTTCAATCTGCTGGTTAATACCAGTGGTTGGGAAGAGGTCTAGGATAGCTGACCCCTTATTTCTTCTTCAGAAAATAACATTGTAGGAGGGATAGCAATCTGGACGTCCCATTGTTAACGGGGTAAGTTTTCCAGCAGATATCAATATAGCTGAAGTCTCCCGTTTCCGCTAGAACTTACATAATGGACATCAACTCCTGTTAATCCATGCTGCAAAGCCAACTGGTGAGGAATCTGAGAGAGGTGCTAACTTTGAAGGTCAGTTCCTAAATGCCAGAATGATGGGAAATAAGCTATTTTTAGAAGGCATTACCTGTGCTTTCCAGCTGAATTGTATGCAGACTTGCATGCAGCCAACTTCTGGAACTTGGGAGAAAGAAACTGTGAACTGGGATCTGTTAATCAGCTGTAATTATTCTCATCATCTAAAATCCTTTGCCATTCCCAATACAGCAATTCGTTTTCCAGAGAGCAGAACAGAAAAGTTCCATAAACTGTCTTTTGCTTTAAGAGCCAAGCTATATATTACACAGAACAGCCCCAAAGCCCTTTTATTCAGAATAAGCTATTCCAAAGAGTGCTGACAGTTTGGCATCATGGCATGGTGAGATAAAGTAAATCCGTTTTCTCTGTGAATTTTTTTTTAATTTGAAGGGTGGAAAATTTTAAAACTCCAGGTTACGATCAATTGCAGTTGTTAAATATATTGCTGTTATTAACTAAGATTAATTTTTAAAGTTCAAATGGCACCAGTCTTAATCCCAGATACAATTCTGCAAAGTCAGCAAAGAATAATCAGCAAATTTATTTGGAAAGGGAGAGAAAAAACAGACGGAAATCAAAAATCCCAAACAAAGCCATTACAACATGTGTCCCTATTAAAAACTGAGATGAGGCCCACTAGAACAAAGCTACAATACCTTAATTAGTTGGAATGGGGCCGATTAGTTGTCAAAGTGTGGAGATAATAACCTTGTAAGGTTCATAACTATATTTCCATCTTGCTTACAAGAAACCTAGTTTTCAACTGAGTTGCCATTAAATGGATAAAAATTTTACCCCCTAAATGTGGAGTAAGATAAGATCAGACCTGTAAGCAGGTGAGGTGAAAAAACATTCAAAATTACGAGAAAAAATATACAGCATCATTTAAAACAAAAGTTAAAAGCAAAGCTTGAACTGAAAACCTTTGCGTGTGTGTGTGTCTTTTTTAACTAGAATTTTTTCCAGGGAAATAAAGAATATCACAATGTATTAAGATATACAGTATATAGTACTGGTGACCATGAAGATAAATTTGACCCAGCACTGGAAAAGGCATACTTACCTGACAATATTAGATTGAGAAATCAAAATTGGGGAAATCACAGCAGTAGTAAAATTAACACATCCAGAATATAAGTACCGTACAGGTAATCCTTGACTTACATTCATTTAATGACCATTCAAAGTT